CAACAACACAAACGCAAGCCGAGCAAAACTGCTCGTCCAATTATGGGCCGGAATTCACGAGTCACTGTATAGCGGAGAGTCAAGAACATACAGCATGGATAAAAATCTGCGAAGAGTTAAACTCTCGCATGATTACTAATTGAGAAATGCAGATCTTGTTAAATATATTTCAATCAGTAACGTTTTGGTTCCAGCATGTTGGCCTAATGCGACCACTGCCAAAATTTGGAACTTGCGAAATTTTTGCCAATTTTTTTCCTCGCCAAAAATTGGAAATATTTTAAACAAACAAAATTGGCTCTAGTACGACCCGGGCCTAAGTCTACCAGTAAGTCAGTTCTAAAGTCATTGTTAGAATTGGATCAATTTCTGGTGGGACTTGTTGACGTGGTAAACTTGACTGATCTGTGTTCAGTCTGTATAGAACTATCATAATACTGAATCCTCAATCCCCAGGCTTGATATGCTCTCTTCACAAAACAGTTTGCTTCCAGTTTATCTTGTCTAATCGAATTAGCGCAAAATGGAAACTACTACAGAAATGTCATCTTCAGTACTCTTGTTTTTTCAATAAATACCTTGACTTGACTGTTTTCCCGGATGTAAACCCAATTGAAGTCGTCTGCGGTGTAAGCCAATGAGAAACTGGTCACCCATTGATTAGCATCATGTCGGCCCTGAGTGGCCACGCCTCTTATATTGTGCAACTGGCCAAGGTTTACCTGAGATGAAATGGATTCCTTATAAGGTGGCAAAATATGACATATCCGATCTCTAATTACAATCGCCGATTTCAAACAGTTTCCACGAGAAAGTCTTAAAAATTCGCAATGTATTGAGTCTATTAAAGATGTTTAGTAAAAGACGAGGAGCAACTGCAGAATACTCGGCTTCTTTGAACCTACGCAATGGAAAAAAGTAAGATACAAGCACCCTTTTTCGAGTTCCAGTACTGTATCTCAAGTCCAATGTGCAAATCTGAAAAGGATCAACACTTAAATTTGGCTTTAATGTGCTTATTGTACCGCGACAAATCAGATGGTAGAAGAAACCACAGAGATTAATTGCAATTGGTTAAATTATTCATCTCATATCCTGATGACGGAATGACATTTCACAAATAACTGTGGTGTTCACGTCTCTCTGATTCACAGTCTATTCCACATTAAATTTGATCACGAAAAATTTTGAAAGGTTGCTCGAGTCTACAGGCTGAAATTACTTTACATTTACGTACGGAATCTTCTTTGCTTCACTTTCCGGATTTTCCTTTGTGAACACTTTGAATTTCTCGCGGTAACTTGTTAGTTTATGGAGTCAGAACGGAGTGTGGAAAGTTTGTTCGCATGTTTATTTTCAATTAATCAAACTCAACGTTCAGAAACTGTTTGCAGAGGGAACAAGGAGTTGACGGAAAGGAATCTTGATTTTATTTTCAATGTACATTGATTTACTTCGTGAAATGAACAGTCCTAATTTATACCTGAAGCCACTGGTTGGCATTATTCTGACCAGCTGCCCAACAAGATTTCCCGCCACTTGGTAATAAGTTGAGTCTCCCTCTATTTGGAAGATAGCTGGAACTTGCCGAGGACGAAGCTGTGAATGCTTCATCAGGAATTCTACCGTCCTCCACCCCCACAGGCATAAGACAGTTCTTCACTGGAGGAAGAAGAAATCGAAAGAAATCTTAAAAAGAAACCGAACAACTAGCGCAGAAGTAAATTGAGACCTTTTCAACGGCTTCGAAACATAAATTCAAACGACAATGAATATTCAATTTCATTTAACGGTAATTCAGTGCTTGTCAGTCGTCAGTTCCAAGACAAGGGAAATGAAGACTCCTTATCAGCACTGAACTTACCTTTTCGGCAGCCATACAGTTCAACTCTCAGGCAAGGTGTATTATGATTGTGGGTCTTTGGATGAAAGCGGATGAAGCGAGCATCGATGTGAGGTCTAAGAGAGTGTGTAGTGACAGTGTTTCTGTCAGTGTTCCCAGCAAAGACCTGAAAAACGTTCAACATGATTCCATTTAATAGTACTTTCGAATGCCAGACTTCGACACCTCGCCAACCACATTTGATACTGTGTACTCGGGATATACCTGCCTAAAGCTAGTCCCTAAGAGAGGCAGACCTCTCGGAATATTGTTGTAATAGTGTAATGAGATAAAGTGTCACTCTTCTTCGATCAATTGAAACCTTCAAACCTAATTGTTTTCTTTTTTTTCTGTACTGTACATGACAATGTAAATTTAAAAGGAAGAGAATTCGAAACTCACCATAAATTAATAACTGTTTTGATCATTCTGTTTTATATAAGTGCACTTCGAATAGCTAAAAAAGCTGGCTTCGAAATTAAGGTATTCTGGACTTAACATGAGTTTGAGAATATGTGTATGTGCTGAAAAGGCCAAACATTATTGCACAGAAAGACAAGAAAGATAAGAGAGGCTACATTATCAGGTATTTTGTAAGGCACAAAACTATTTGACAACAAAATATTGAACACTAAACGCAATAGTTAAAGAATTGTATTTAGAGAATAGCAATCGACCTTGAAATCTGTTCTCTCTAGGGTAATGCATTTTAGACCCCTTTTTTCCCTTTCCTAGCGCGGCAGAAATTAATTTAAATGAGGGTAAATTTTTCACACTAAAGGACTTTTCAGAAGAGTTAGCTTTCACGTGTACCTTTTCAGTAGCACGTTGTTTGTAGCTAGTCCAGTGCATTCCATCCACACTGTATGAAAGCGTATACGTTTTAACCCTGTCCTCACTGTTGTACCGGCCTTGAGTTGCCACTTTTGTCACTGCCGTGATTTCTCCCAAGTCTATCTGAAGCCACTGATTAGTGCTTTTCACCTTTGGACACCAGGCACCCATATGTTTGCCATCAGACAAAATGTTCAGTCTTGCAAGTGAAGGTCTGTGCGTATTGTCAACACTACTGGAAGCTGTAATCGCACCGTCAGGGATGCGTTTGTCTTCCATACCGAGTGACACTGAACAACTGTGAACTAAAAACAACAATACTGCGATAAGCTGATATTTCTGACAAGCAATTCTGATCCACCATTATCCATTTAAACTCAAAGATAATATCTATACACCATAGTTAAGTCATGTTTGACTGACAAGTAAACTCTTGATAAACCATTTAATTTACTTTCACAGTTAAAGGACCCTAGTCAGCCACAACTTTGTTTTTGTTTACCTGCGAGAGTTTGGCTATTATAGTTTATTCGGGACATGTCGAAACGAAGTAAATCACTGTGAAACAACTAAAGATAATCAAACATACTTTCAGGAACACAACTTAAAGTAACGCAACAAGATTTGGCTTCACCTTCACGATCAAATGATCAGTAATTTCGATGGCATCGAAAATTGCGGAGGCTGACTAGTGTCGTTTAAGTGTCTTCACAATTTCCTTTAAGCAAATACGAGCTCATATGCAAAACTAATTTCAGGAAAACAGCAATATCTACTGATGCTCTTGGTTGTGGCCAAATATAAACATAGGCACGCAAGGCATGCAAGAGTTAATTTTTTGTGAGTTCAAAGCCCCTGGAGGTAGCAGCACTCAGTGGACTCTTAACAGTTATGATAAGGCTAATCAATCAAGTTTGTTTCGTTACGATGTACAGAGCCTATTTGGTGACAAAAACTCAGTTACAGGAAAAGTTTTGTTACTTTATGACGTAAGTTTACCTCTTTGAACTACGCAAGGAATCTGTTNTTTGATGTGAGCAATTTGTTTTTGATGTGAGCAATTTGAATTTGATGTGAGCAATTTGTTTTTGATGTGAACAATTTGTTTTTGATGTGAGCAATTTGTTTTTGATGTGACAGTTGTGGGCCACCGTATCCTTCCTTAAGAAACGGTCTTGCTTTGTTCAAAAATAATTTGTCTCCAATAATTCTAATCTGGCCATAAAGGCTGATAAAACAACAACTTTTGGTCCAACAACATCTCTAATGTTACCTATTCCTGTATTGAAAGAAAAGCGAAAGACAACCCGCAGGGTGCCCCCTCCCCCCACTTTTTTTTTCCACTTTCTCTCTTTTTGTTTGTTTGTTTGTTGTTCCTTCTTTTTTTATTATTATTATGTAAGTAGTTTTTAGTGTTTTTCCGTTGGTAGTAATTGAAAAGTAAGGAAGCAGTCTGGCATAAATAAGTTCATTGTATAAAAATAAAATGTAGCGTGTATGTAACTTACATGTTTATGCACATGATTTATCTATAATAAAAAGAGCATTGTAAGCAAGCCAAACGTAATTTAATTAGTGTGACTGTATTGTAATATATGTATTGTAACTAGCGCGCGTACAAATAGTGTAAGTATAAGTAGTAAGTAGCAAGTACAGTTTAAGTGCAAATATGCTCTCTTCACAAAACAATTTGCTCCCAATTTATCTTGTCTAATCGAATAAGACCAAAATGGAAACTACTACAGAAATGTCATCTTTGGTCTTTTTTTTTCAAAAATTACCTTGACTTGACTGTTTTCCAGGATGTAAACCCAATTGAAGCCGTCTGCGGTGTAAGCCAATGAGAAACTGGTCACCCATTGATTAGCATCATGTCGACCCTGAGTGGCCACGCCTCTTATGTTGTGCAACTGGCCCAGGTTTACCTGAGATGAAATGGATTCCTTACAAGGTGGCAAAATATGACCTATCTGATCTCTAATTACAATCGCCATTAATAACATTAAGCTCAAAATTAAAAATTTAGCCTGAACCGATTTCAAACAGTTTCCACAAAAAAGTCTTAAAAATTCGCAATGTATTAAGTTTGGTAAAGATGTTTAGTAAAAGACGAGGAGCAACTGCAGAATACTCGGCTTCTTTGAACCTACACTATGGAAAAAGTAAGATACAAGGATCCTTATTGTGCCGCGACAAATCAGATGGTAGAAAAAACCACAGAGATAACTATTGTTTGTTGCAGGCGGTTAAATTATTCATCTCAAATCCTGATGACAGAATAACATTTCACAAATAACTCTGGTGTTCACTTCTTTCTGATTCACAGTCTATTCCATATTAAATTTGATCAGGAAAAATTTTGAAAGGTTGCTCGAGTCTACAGGCTGAAATTACTTTACATTTACGTACCGAATCTTCTGTGCTTCACTTTCCGGATTTTCCTTTGTGAACACTTTCAATTTCTCGCGGTAACTTGTTAGTTTATGGAGTCAGAATGGAGTGTGGAAAGTTTGTTCGCATGTTTATTTTTAATTAATCTAACTTAACGTTCAGAAACTGTTTGCAGAGGGAACAAGGAGTTGACGGAAAGGAATCTTGATTTTACTTTCAATGTACATTGATTTACTTCGTGAAATGAACAGTCCTAATTTATACCTGAAGCCACTGGTTGGCATTATTCTGACCAGCTGACCAACAAGATTTCCCACCACTTGGTAATAAGTTGAGTCTGCCTCTATTTGGAAGATAGCTGGAACTTGCTGAGGACGAAGCTGTGAATGCTTCATCAGGAATTCTACCGTCCTCCACCCCCACAGGCATAAGACAGTTCTTCACTGAAAGAAGAAGAGGAAGAAGAAGAAATAAAAAAAAAATCTTAAAATATATAAAATATAAAACACCTTGGGCAGGGATAAATTGAGACTTTGTCAAGGGCTTTGAAGGTATACAAGCATTTAGCAGTAAAAACTTTCAGCGCCAGTTTTCAGACGAGAGATTAAGGTTATTTGTCATCTAATGAACTTACCTTTTCGGCAGCCATACAGTTCAACTCTCAGGCAAGGTACATTATGATTGTGGGTCTTTGGATGAAAGCGGATGAAGCGAGCATCGATGTGAGGTCTAAGAGAGTGTGCAATGACAGTGTTTCTGTCAGTGTTCCCAGCAAAGACCTGAAGTAACAACAGTTTAGCACTATCAAATGCCAGACTTCAATACCTCGCCAACCACATTTGAAACTGTCTACTCGTGATATGCCTTCCTAAGGCTAGTCCCTCAGAGGGGCATGCAACTGAAAAACTGTATAATAGATGAACAAGATAAAGCATCACTCTCCTTCGATCAAATGAAAACCTCAAAACTGACTGCTTTTTCTTCTTTTCTATACTGAAAGAAATTGACAGTGTAAACGTGAAAGTAAGAGAAACGCCCCATAAAAAGATAATTGTTTTGATCATTCTATTTTTCAAGTGTACATTGAATTTCTAAGAATGCTGGTTTTCGATATTAAGGTTGCGTTCTGGACTTTACAACAGGAGTTTGAAAATGCATGTATGTGCTAAAAAGCGGGCCTAAACATTATCACACAGAAAGACATGAAATATGTCTTGCACAAGTTCACTGATAGGGGCTACATCATCTGGTTTTTTGGAAGATACAAAACTATTTGACACCATAATATTTGAACATTAATCACAGTAGTTAAAGATTTGCATTTAGGGAGTAGCAATTTACCTTGAGTTCAGTTGATTGGAACAACCCTTTTATTTCTTCTTAAAAACTCCCATATGAAAAGGTCGGGGATGTAAATTCAAATGTAATCTCATTTATAGTGGTCATGCACTTAGCTATACAAGTACTAAGCTTTGCTAGTTTACAGGCATGCCACTGAAACAATGGAAACAAATATTTCAAGTAAACGTAACATAGTTAAAAATCCCAACCTGGCAGGAGGCAGACCAGTTGGCTATTTACAAAGCGTGACCTAAGATTTGAACTCGGGACTACCGAGAAACAAATCCCGCCAGTGGCCGGGTGGAGGCCTTGAACCGGGGACCTGCGAACTACAACACCAGCGCCCTAAACCACTCGGCCACGCTGCCTCCGATTTTTCTCGGAGGAAAAATCTGAATTAAAGCCCTAAAGGAGACCAATCTGAACGTGGCTCAAGCTTAATTTCAAACCTAAAAGATACCACTTAAGGTAATTCCTCTGAAATAAAAGTGACAATAGATTTTTGTTCAAACTTTGTCCACTGAATATTTGTCATATGATAACTTCAATTTTGAAATA